TCCACCATCAGTGTTCCGATCTGCATGGATGCATGGAGTGGAGACGTTACACCTTCGTTTCCTCACGCAACTCGGGCTTACCAGCACCCCGACTTCCGGACAGAACCGAGTCTAGACGCCCGCCGCTCAGCCCAACGCATGCTTGCCCGTGCGGCCCACTCGCCCCTGCACACACGCGGACATGCGGCCCGAGCAGCCAGCAGAGCGCACCTCCATCAGCTGTCAGCTAGGCCCGCCAACGACCAAAACGGATCTGTAGAAAATGGCAACACTCCAGCACCCCTGTCTTTGCGACGGATCCCACGTCGGGTGGCTGTCTCCCACGCGCTTCCTTTAATTGCCCCCACTCATGGACGTGCATTGGAGCATACATGCCACCTTGCTGCTCGCCCTACTGTTGCTTGCCCGCACCCTTTTGCGCTCGTCTGCGCCATGCTGCGCGCCTATGTCTGCTCGCCTGTTGCACCCCCGGCGCTCGCCCGCCCCATGGGGACGGCCTGCACCGGGGGGGGGGGACGGCCTGCGCCTCATGAAACACTTGCAACATGGAGGGCTTACATCTAAAACAGATGAAACATTTAGAATATATGCTTGCAACATATGTGTGCAGCCACTGCAACATATGTGTGCAGCCACTGCAACATATGCAACATTTAGATAAAACATTTGCAACATGTGTCTGGAACAACTGAAACATGTGAAACACACACTTGCAACATGTTTCTGAAACACTTCAAAAAAAACACGAAAACACTTGAAAACCTTTGCAAACATACGCAACATCCAGATAAAACACATATAACATGTGTGTGAAAACTGAAACATATGTAATATCCACATAAACACACTTGCAATGTACATCCCAAAGCAAAGATGAAACATTGTTAACAGACATTTGCAATATACGTGTACAACCATTGCAACATATGTAACATCTCGATCTACTTTTGCAACATCCATCTGAAACACTTGCAACTCTGAAACATGTGAAACACTTGAAACATACACTTACACTTGCAACTCTGAAACATGTGAAACACTTGAAACATACACTTGCAACATGTGCTTTCAGCAAAAACTAGGAGCCGGGCAGGCGGAGCACTGCACGGCGGGATCTAGCCGCGTGGTCGTGGTGGAGAAGGAGGATGACAGCGGACGGGCGGCTGCCAACCCCCGGTGAGCGGCACGCTACCCCCGGCGAGCGGTGCCCGCGGTGGAGCCGACATCAACAGTCGGGTGGGTGCGATCTCGCGTGGCGAGGCGACAGCGGCTGTGCGGTCCGGGGGGAGCACGCCGCGGCGGTGCGGGCGCGGCGGTGGTGGAGAGGAAGGCTGGGAGGAGGAGCGGTGGAGAGGATGGCGTGCGGGAGGCATGGTGGAACACAGTCGCGGAGCGCAGTCATGGTGATGCATGTTTTTTTAATCTGCGGCGATTGGAGGAGAGCGGAGGGAGTGGATAAAAAAGGGATATGATAGATAGTCTTATGGTCGTCGGGTCCCCAAACAAAGGCGTCCCGCGCGGAGCCAACGCGGCTTATGATTCCTAGCACTACTGCAACTTCTATCGCCTCCAGACATTTGCATGCATCCATGCAGCAGGGTTCCTTTCCTCCGATGCCTTGGATCTCCTATTCGTCATCCGTAGTTCTATTTTCAAATAGAAAACTCCACCATTTTTTAGTTAACTAAAGTTTAGCCCACTCTTTTTAGTCACTTTTAGCCTTCCATGGATCCAAACAGGAGGGCTAAACGTGAAGGCTAAACTTTGGTCCGCCTCTTTTCCATTAGCCCCTCCGAGGTAGGCTAAAGAGGGCTAAAAGTGGTCCTGTGGGGCAAAAGACTCATATTACCCCCACACACCTCGACGCATGGCTGTGCATAGGTAATAAATTAGGGCAAAATGGGTCATTGTAGGGTAAGAGGTTAATCTTTAGATCCTGAATCCAAACAGCCTCATGGGCTAATCTTTAGCCCATTCATTCTAAGGACTAATCTTTAGTCCTGGACTAAAGTTTAGCCCACAGGGTCTTAGTTATTTTAGCCACTGTAGTAACGGTCTACTAATAATTATCTTTTTTTTATCTAAACAATATAGATAATAGACTAGATAATTATTAGCTAAATCTCTAGATAACATCTATCTTACTTATTGAAACAAATCAGATAATAACAGCTAATAGGTGCAACAAAAACCCAACTTTATCAATTAGTTGTGTATCCAAACACCCTCCTAGCTAGTTAATATTACAGAAATGCTATACAACGCACCTGTGTTTTAGCAAAAAAACACATGTATTTTTTTATCTCTCCTTCTCACCGGTGACCAAAAGAAACTGCAACTCGCGTCCGTACTCTCTGCCAAAGACATCGATGAGCAGGCCGCATACAGTTGGCTCGGTAGCATCGTGCTCCAGCACATCGAGCTCCTCGGCCCCTTGTGTCCCCAACGCCATGGCGTGCACGTGCTGGATGACGCCCGAGGTACACCACGTACGATGACAACTCGTCGAACACCGGCCGCAGCAACGAGCAAGAGCGAGCACCGAGCCGCCGAGAACATGAGGGTCGTGAGTACGGGCGCTATCGACGCTCAGATAAGATGGGCCAACGCCATGAGGGCGAGCAACCTAGGCGTCGGCGGCGGCTACCTGCACCGACCGCGACCTGTGATGGTGGCGGCGGTGGATCTGTGATTTGTCCTTCCATAGGAAAAAATTGTTTCTGTGATTTGTGATTTGTGATCTGTGGATCTGTGATCTTGTGATTGTCTGAAGGTAGAAGAAGGATGGAGGTAGAAGAAGAATGGGGGCTGTTGGATCTTAATCTTATGGTGCAAAAAAATTCATGTGTTGGAATTGCATAAAACACATGGTTGTGTAGTAGACAGACTCTATATATGTGATATTAGCTAGATAACTACTGTTACCCCGGTCCACACAAGAATGTAATTCTCGTATTTCGAGGCGTCGACCAGTCAAAACTTTGATTAAATTTATATAAAAAAAATACAGACATTTTTTATACAAAATAAGTTTCATTAAATTATTTATAGAATATATTTTCATAATAAATTATTTAGAGACATAAATGCTAATATTATTTACTATAAACTTAATCAAATTTAAGCTCAATTGACCTGCATAGATAACATAATTGTATTCTTTTGTGGGTGGGGGAGTATTAGCTAATGGATCAAACAGGGCCGGTGTTGCGCAGCAGAGAAGCTAAAAAATACTCATGATGTTATCTGGATAGGATTTTTTGTAGTTTTATATTTACCTTAGCAATAGGATATACTAATAGATAATACATAATAGCGGGAGAAAAAAAAAACAAGAGTCACAATTCTTATATTCGGTGAAGCGAAAATATTTTCACAGATAATAAACTAATAGAATTAACATTAAAACAGAATCAGCACTCCCATGATTATTCCATCACATTGATATGTTTACTACCATACCAATAAACAGCAACTCACAGGTGAGCAGCAAGCAAAGCAATAAGCAGGCGGTTTGATGACACGGCACAAAAGGTAACGTCATCAGGAAGGCAGCAGCTTTGTCCAAGCGTTAGATGCATTTAGCAGCTACTAACCAATGAAGCTACCTGCAGCTTAGCACAAGTATATATAGCCTCACCATAGAAATGTTGTTGATAGCATGAGAACCACATCTAGGGACTAGGGACTCACCTGCACTACACAAGCCTACCTTTCTCGTGCGTTGCAACAAAATGTATAACTTGGTTGTGGTCACCTAAGATTTATGCAAACATCGTGTCATCTGTTTTAGTACGTCTTTGAATTGAACTCCACACCGTGGCTAAACGTGTGCATTGTTCGAAACATGGTCTCGTATTGGATTTTGATTGAAAACACATCGACGGCAAGAGTGAGATGCAGACCGCGGAGAGTGAAATGCGCAAATGGGTTGATGAACGAAAAAATGGAGTAGAGAGAAATTTTCTCCTTTTAATATTAGACATATAGATAAAGATATATAGATAATGTAAATAGATATGTTTGAAAAAAAAACATATGTATTTGTTTGTGGTATAAGCAACGCGTGTACGGTGCACCAACACCGGCACCATAGTTAAGTTACTCTATGTTGAATTTGTCTGCTCCGCGCCTAGCAAGTAGCAAGTGAACGAGATCCGTCGAGGCGATCAGCTGCCCCTCCACCTGCTTGTTTGTTTGCTCCATGGCTGACTCGACCCCCTGCATGTACAAGAGGCTCTGGCACTTCTCCGGCTACCAGTGGAGGGTGCTCGAGGCGGGCGCCGCAGCGTCGTAGCTCGCCGCGGTCACCAAGGCTATCGTGTTCGTCGTCTCGCGGAGGCACTCCGAGTACAGAGCGCGGCACTGCGCCAGGCGGTCGCGCTCCAGCGGCGTCAGGACCCGGGCGCCGGGCAGGACCGTGGTGCGCCGCACGGCGTCCCGCGTGGAGTTCCTGGTGACCGTCAGCGCGATGACGGCGAGGTCCTGGACCGACTGTCCGGCGCGAGGGTGGAGATGCAGAGGTGCTCGTGGGCCGTCTTGCCGGCGGAGGAGAGGGGGAAGAAGGAGGCTGCGACGGCGGCGCAGAGTAGCGCCGCCACCGCCAAGATGTTCTTGAGGCTTGCTTGTGATGCCGCCCTGTTTGTTGCCATCGCCATTGCCATGTTGGGATTGGAAGATTCGAGACTTGTTCGTGTGCAAATGCTGCGTATGTCTCGTGCCTGTTATATACAGCATGCAGCTAGGATGGGGGTTCGTTACTGCAGCATTCATGTTCATTGATCACTATTCATGGGTGCTGCTAAACTGAAATGGGTTTTAGTTTCTTGAGAATGGCAGTTAACGTTAACGCACGCCAGAACTAATAACAGAGGGAAAATTCATTGGCATTACTAATGTTACATCACATTATTTTTTACTTCATGCACCTAGTTGCTTATTGTTGATGCATGCATGGCATGGGAAGCTGTCAAGCTGACTAACAACCCAGCAGACTGTGATCAGTTTTTGCCGGTGATGACATCCCTGAACCAGTATGCTGAACTCTTGGGGTACCGTCTGAGTGTCTTGAAATCGACGTAGACCAGGCCGAACCTGGACGTGTAACCCAGCTTCCACTCGAAGTTGTCCAGCAGGGACCAGGCGAAGTAGCCCACGCAGTTGGCGCCGCCGTCGATCGCCTCCTTCAGCTTGCTGATGTAGCTCCGGTAGTAGGCAACCCTCGTCGCGTCGTGCACGCCCTGGGCGACGGTGACATTGCCTGGGTCATCCATGCCTGTTGTCGATCGAATCCACTCACGGTTTTGGTCATCTTATACTTGTTGTGGAGGTCAAGCAGAGGTCAAGGAGCTTTACCGTTTTCAGATAGAAACATTGTGGGGTTGCCATACTTCTCCTTGACGTAAGTGACAGCTTTGTACAGTCCCCAAGGCACGATGTAGAGCCAATCTGAATTTGCCTGCAGTGGAGCTTAATTAGTTGCTTCAGAAAAGAATACAGTTATATGATAACTCAAACACAAATGATCAATACCCTTGGTCCGATTGGCACACCGTTGCGTTCATCTGTAGCATGAATAGATGCAGAGAATTAGGAATGTTCTTAGAGTAAAAAGATGCAGAGAATTAGGAAGGTTCTTAGAGTAAAAAAGACATTACTCCTTTCAAAACAGGTATCAAAGTGGTGCCGTTTTCATTTTGTTTTTGCAGCACAGGCACTTAGATGTCAATGGAGGTAAGCAGACTTACAAACAAATTCAGCATGCCAATCAGACGAGTAGCTAAACAGAGTTGTTGCATTTGGCTGCTGATCACGAACATAATAAGCAGTATACTGGTTGACTCCAACATAGTCGATGGAGCCTTTGACTATGTTGACCTCATCAGCTGTGAACTTTGGAAGCCTTTCCTTCACGATTTTTTGGACCGATTTGGGATATTCACCGTAGATGATTGGGTGCAGAAACCTGAAACATTTTTAAGGTCCGGATGTTCAGAGGTGATACAAGGGCATCTGGATCCTCTATGACAATGAGTTGAAACATGATGAGCACGAAACTGAATGTTTGGGATGGAGGCAAACAAAAAGTTAACATCTCTGGTTAAACACGCTTCAAGATCGTGCCTACTTGCCACTACTTTGTTCCATAAACAGCAATGGTCAGGAAGCAACAGAGCGGCGTCAACTAAATCCAAATAGCGCGCAGGTCGTTCTGTGAAAATGAATATACATGTTTGAAGTAAGATTCTAGTCCCAAAAGGATGAAGTGAAATTACCATCCTACATGGAAGTCTCTTGATCTTTCAGCTGCAGCTTGGTCAGCTGTTGAATTTGTGAGAGCCTCATACCAGACAAAGTCCAGAAGAATTCCAATCCTTCCCTTTTGTGTAATCTGGATGGAAGTTTGTGTGCAAAGAAAATTTAGAAAACAGTTCTAAATGCTACTGGTTAATAGTCTCTAACAAAAAGATAGTACAAGTTACCATGAAGATCTTAAACAACCGTGCGTTTCTGATCACTCTGTCTAGCATAGGTACTAGGCCAGGCTGCTTAGAAGTATTTTTACCTGATACTTTTGCCTGTATCTCTGAACTGCAGCAGCATGGGAAAGAATGAGGTGATGAGCAACGATGTAAGGCTCGGTAGCGGAGTTTCCAGCCTTGCATTTTGTGCACCTTCCAGGTGCGAATTTACCATCGTCATATCCTAGGGCAGCAACTACCCTTGGCTCGTTAAATGTCATCCAGTTCTTTACTCTGTCGCCAAATGTCTTGAAGCAGAAATCGGCATAGTCTGCAAATGATTTCCTGCATGATTCGGTATGTTAATTCGCAGGCATTACAATTTTTCTGTTCAAAAGTCAAACATACTTACACCACTTTTCTGTTCAACAGCCCTCCATATTGGACCTCTAGTGCCTCTGGTAAGTCATAGTGATACAGATTTGCATAAGGTGTAATGCCTGAGAAGCAGAGTAAATTTCAGCATGAAACTTGAAAAAACTGCCAAACTTCAAAGTGAAATAAAAGCATTTCTAGCACCATCATCTATCCATATACCTATCTTCAACATGTAGTTTATCAACCTGTTATAGTATGCCACTCCTTTCCAATTCACTTTTCCAGTTCCATCTACATTATATACAAAATTTCCCATCGCCACAAATTAGTTTATCATTAGCACCAGCAGTAGAGAACAAATCTAAATTAGGAAAAACATAACTCCAAATGAACAATAAGGGACAATACTTGGGAATATTCTTGACCAAGAGATTGAAAATCGGTAAGCATCAAACCCCATCTTTTTCATGATATTCACGTCCTCCTACATGAAGGAGAACGAATTTAGTTTGCTTTCATATCTAGACGAGAAGTACTTTAGTTTTTTAAAATATATGGAAAAGCTTTAGCAATTGATGGCTACAATTTATTAACTTCTAAACTTGGAATTAGCATCCGGATAGGATAATCAAAACCCCTTGTGCAACTTTAGGAAAGCGAACGACTATACATTTCAGAAATACTAGCGCCAGTGCTGCCCTCCCTCTCCCGCGCGCCGCACTTGCTCGCGCCAGCATGTCTCCGCCAGCGTGCCCCCGGACGTCTCCCGTACTGCCCGGATGTTGCCCGTGCCGCCAGACTGCGCGTGGGGACTGCTTGTGGCCCCTCCCGCTTCCCATACGCGTCCCAATACGCAACACCCGATATACTTTTGAAACATCAAGATGCAACATTTGCAACATACGTCTGAAGACAGATGAAACATTTGAAACATGCTTCTGAAACACTTGCAAAAGCACCTGGAAAACACTTGAAAAAACATTGCAAAACATACACAACATCCAGATAAAACATTTACAGCATATGTGTGAACCGTATGCAACATCCAGATAAACATACTTGCAACATACGTCTGAAAAAACAAATGAAACATAGGGAACAAAAGCTTGCAACAAACATGTACAACTATTGCAGCATCTCGATCTGATTTTGCAACATCTACATGAAACAATTACAACATACCTCTGAAACATCTGAAATATTTGAAATATACACTTGCAACATAAGCTTGTAATGCAACATCTCTTTGCTCCTTGGAGAGAAATGGAGGCTCGTCGGCATTTGAATTTCATCGTGTAGAGTTCGCCGGTGGCACGAAGCGACCGGCCAAGGCGGATGTGATGCCGTCGAGCGCATCACAGCCACACTCTACACCTTGCCACAGGCCCCTTGAGGCGCCATGAGAACTGGATCTGGATCCGCGCGGGGAAGGGTGCCTGACGCCGCCACCATTGAGGAGGAAGGGAGGGAATCGCGGCAGAATCCATAGGCGAAGAGGAAGCGCCCCTGGAGGGGAAGGAAAGGGAGCGCTGCCATCGGGGGAGGACTGGCCACCACGGCCTCCGTCGGAATAGGGCAGGGCGCCGCGGCCGCCATCGGGACGAGGAATGGCATATCGGCACCACCGCGGCATGCTGCGGTCCCTCAGCCTTGACCGCGTGCGGTGAAGAGAACCTTATCCTTTCGTCTAAATAATGGAGGGAGCAGGATAAGGTTAGAGACGCCGTTGGTCCATTGAGCTAGTGCCGCGGTCCATGAATACGACTGTTCAAACGATCGAACGTCCTGACCAGAGAATTTCTGTATACATTTTGACTCGTCTACACTAACCTCTAGATATTTGATCGTCTTCATGGCCATGCATCGCAGTGGCAGTAGTGGAATGAGATCATCCTCTTCAGTCACGTGAGACGCTTATCCCTCTTTGCGGTGGGCAACAGCCAACAGGAATGTCCTTGCCCGCATCATATTAGTTAATTTCTTTTTTATTATTAGTTGTTTGTTAAATTGACATGTTAAAGACCTGGCAGATGAAGACTTATATTATATTATTTGATTTGTGGAAGGGAATAGATTGGTACGTCGTCACCTTATTCCTAACAAACTAATAATTAATACTCATGATACATCACTTCATCGGGATAGAATGACTTCTCAAACCAAACACCGTATAAGTCTCCATCTTCCAGGCACGGGAGTCTATTTAATACTAGTGCACTAAAGAATAATGCTATTGATTTTAGGAATAAATAATCATAAAAAATATGAGCACTTATGTTTGTGTCAAATCGATAATTTAAACTCAGGTGGGCAAGAACCTAACTTGATACCTAACATTTGTTCAGGTTAGAGCCTTAGAGGTGACATAAATTTGGATGCTTCGTAATTATAGCTTTGCATGAGTTACTTTTTAATCAAGCCATTCATTATATATATGTAACACGCACGCCAAAGAACCTATAGTTTTTGTTTTGTTAGTACACTCAATATCTAAAATTTCATGGTTCGATTTGTAAAATTCTGTAATTTGATTTTAAGTTTCACATACTGAAAACGTCATATTTGAATTATAGGTCTAAATAAAAAAAGAAACAACGAAAAGTCGACTGAAATGAAAGCATCAAAATATCATGGTTTACCTTGTAGCGATGGTACTCGTCAACAGTGACGTCCGCGGTGGCGTTGTTCGCGATCTCGCCTGAAAGCCGGCCGGCATGGCGATGATTGAATCATGCCATGGCAAACCAACAATTGAATCAACGATTGATGCCTTTTTAATATATAATAATCCATACTAGCGTTTCAGTGAGTAATTCGATCAGCGCCAATGGAATGATGCTCACCCGGGATCTTGATGAAGGCGTCCCATATGCTTGGCCCGCGGCCGTCCTTGTGCGCCATGCCCTCTACCTGGTAGGCCGACGCCGCCGTCCCGAACACGAACCCCTTGGGAAAGCTCCGCCGGCTCAGCCCGCCCGTCCATGCCGCCGCAACCTTCTCCCCTGCCCGTGCCTCGCCGTCGTCGGCCGCTCGGGCGGCGCCGACGGAAAGCAGAAGAAGCAGGGCGAGCATGGAAAGTTGCACGCCGCCGCCAACACGACCACCACGACCGCGACTAGCATCAGCCATGATTCTGCGCTCCGCTGAGAACCTTGCGACGCGCGGCGAGTGAGGTGCTGGCCAAAGATAAGGAGACAGACAGGGGACGAGTGTGAGTGTGACAATGCGTGGCATATGAAAGCTCGACCGTACGTATTCGGCATCCGGTTTTCCGGTGGCATGTCGAGGAAGGAGAAGCTTGTCGGTATCCGGCGAAATGGTTGAGCTGAGCGCCTGAGCCTGACAGGTTTGCCAGCTAGAGGCGGCCTACTGGCTGTACTAGTGTCTGCACGCCGAGAGTGACGACGGCAGAGGAAAATGCCACGGCAAAGCCACAATGGGCGCCGCATGCTGCCATGGCCCGTGATGCCGCCCTTCACACCGTCGATCGAAACGGTGAAGGAAACGTCATTAGCTATTAGACCGTCTCCGACGAAGACAACCCAAATACCATACCCATTCAACGGTATAGGTTAGCTACAGTAAAAAGGTCACGACCCAAAAATCTGCATTCTCCAACAGACTCCGAGCAACACACCACCGCCCCCGCTTCCTCCCCCTCGCCGGCGCGCTCCTCCTCCTCGCCGGCGCGGCGGCCACGCTGCTCACGGCGGCGCTGCCAGGCGCCCGCGGGTTCTACCTCCCGGGGAGCTACCCGCACAAGTACAACCCTGGCGACTACCTCAACGTAGATCCGGACGGGGGCGCCGCGGCTGCTCCGGTGCCGGTGCCGGTGGCGGCGAGGGCGCGGGGCTAGAAGCGGAGGAAGGAGGAGCGGCGGGCGGCGTGGCGGAGAGGAAGAGGACGAGGGAGAGGGCGAGGACATGCGGGCCTCCGCGCGGATGCGGCGCGGCTCGGGCTCGTCGGTGGAGGAGGAGGAGGAGGAGGAGGAGGAGCTGCCCCCGGAGCCCGAGGAGGAGGACTCCCACTTGCGCCGCTCCTGGAGGCGCCGGTGCGGCGGCGGGGGTGGACGGAGCTCACGCCGAAGCCCCCCTCAGCTCGCCCTCTCTGCTATGCTTTTGCGTCGTTGAGAGAGCCGACGCATTTTTGCCTTCCGATTCGCCAGGTACCCAAAATGCCTGCTTTGGATGCGTCCTCCGTTGGAGCGCGATTTCGGGACGCAAAATACTATAGACGACGTATTTTGCGTTTGGGTGACCGTTGCCTGCGCCGTTGGAGACAGTCTTAGTGCAATCGATCTTTTGTTGTCGCCTGTTTTTAACATATAATATATAAGTGGAGGAGCTCTGTCTTTCGATCAAGATAGAAAAGACTCGGTCCTGTTTATAAAGAAAACCAGACCTGAAAGCCTCGCACTTATTGGTTAATTAAAAGAAGAAAACCAGCAAAAACCTTAACACCGACAATAGCATGGCCAAAATAATGGCTAACTCAAAATAACGCAGGTCGCGTAAGTCAGCTGATCCCCTACGGCCCGTTCTGGCCCATCTTTTGTAGGTGGGCCCCTGCAGGTGTTAGCCTTCCAAAAAAATATGGATTTTCATTTTTGAATTATTTTAATTATATGACGTACATTTTCCTTCTCAAATGTTGACTCTGTTGACGACAGAATTAATCATTTAATCTACTATCATTAAACCGGTTTCCTTTGGCCGCCGACCAGGCTGTCCACATCGCCTCCATTTCCTTCGGCCGTTCGATCCTGCGATCGAGGCTGTCTTCACTCCACCGCTTGCTACAGTGCATCGCCCCCGCCACGAAACCACCGCCGTCTCTCCCCGACCCCGACGCCCTCCTCCTCTCCGCACTCTCTCTCTCGCTCTCTCGATCCATGCGACCATGGCGACGGTACACGGAGCGCACGGCCGGGGCGGCGCAGCTGCGGCCGCCCTCCTCCCTTCTCCTCCACGCCCACCTCGCGCCGCACGGCGACGGTGGGCCCCCAGCATGGCGACGGCGGCGCCCACATAGGGTTTCGCCTCTCCATCACCGGCCGTCCCGGTTTGCTCTCTCTCTCTCTCTATCTCTCCCGGAGCAGCCCTAGCACGGGGCTGCCGGCCCCGTCGGGCCCCTGCGCCCCCTCCCAATCCGTCTCATCTCTATTGGTCCCATTGCATTCTCCTCTCTGTCCCTCGTCTGATCTGCACTAGAGTTTGACAGACTGATTCCATTCGTACAAGAAAGGGCACGTCCTTGCCCCTGCTTTCCATCCCCATCTGTCTATTTATTATTACGCAAGATGAACAGATCAATACATCCCTTCGTTTTCTTCCAAGGGGAACAATGTCTACCTGTGTTATGTATATATAGCCTGAGCGTATATCATTGCTGATGATGTGGTGAGGTGCATCCGGTAAATCCAACCATATTTGTATGCCATTGCTGTTTTCCCTATTATGTTGACCATATTTCAATGCCGATGATGCTGAAAAAAAAAATTTCCCCTCTGAATGATGGCATGTGAGAATAGACAGTTATAGTTATCACTTTTTTATGGTCTTCTGATTCTCATTTCAAGTCAGCCATAGGCATATGTTGTGATGAAGACTTGGTCTTTTATGATATTTGTATTCCACCTTTATTCAGCTGAGGCATTTGGCGTATGGGGTGACGCTAACCATTACATATGTATATGATCCTTTTTGGTTGTCTTAGTGAACTGAGGCAATTTGGCATATGCAATGATGAGCTATTTTTCCCGGCCAACAATCCAATCTTGTTTCGTGCGCTTCACTGCTATCTGCAAAAAAATATGTTGTCGAAGCTTTGTGCTCCTGTGCAATTGTGCTGTACTATGGTTTGCTCCGTCAGCCCTTCTTTGTGGTTTCTTGTGATTTGAACTACGCTTACTGTTACTTAATTCCTGTAATGGATGTTACCGAGGATACGAAAAAGGGTGAAGCCTTTCCAGCTTATCACAGCCATGATGGTTTTCCCGTTGCTGCCTTTCCAGCTTATCACAGGCGTATTTCCATCTGTGCACATTTAGGCCGCTCAATTTTACCGTCAATACGTCAGACTGCAATTAGCTTTCATGCTTATATTTGTTTATTTTCCATTGCTTTCCTATTGCTCATGATGATTTCGTGGTTCCATCATTTTTTCAGATATGAGCTCCTCAGTAATGTTGGTCTTCCACATTGCCTTTTTTTCTTCTTGCACATTAAGTTTTGCAATGGTTCGAATTCGTGTTTTCCTTGCAACAAATTCATATTTGTGGGGTTTTGATACATCTATTGTTCTTTAGTGCTGGTAAATTTATTCTCAGCTGCTCCTGTGTACATCTACTGGTATGCTATTCCGGTTTCTGTAGCTTCTACAGATATGTGTATCATTGAATCCATGCTTTTGTATTCTGTTACATTGGGACAGAAGCAAGACTCAGTGTCAATCTGGTTCGTCAACTTAAGGATGCAGGCTGCTCCAATGGTAAGATATTGAGTCCATGTGCTTTTGAAGCCACATATTCAATTTCAGTGTTAATCTCTTGTGGCATTAACGAAGCATCTTGTGTATTCATTCATTTCGTATCCTATTGGGTTTGCACTCTTATTCAGCTGGATTGTGATGATTTCATTTCTTACCATTGGTTTTCGTAGCGTCTGCCCTCTCAACCTTCTTAGTTTTCAATGTCATCCCTTTACAGGTTTTACTCGGTATCGATTATTCTCCTGTCTACCCAGTTTTCTTTTTTGTGCTTCTTTGTCTGCCCAAACATGTGACCATGTATTGCTAGCCTATGCAGCCTTTAGATTCGTTCATAATATTTCGCAGGGATATTTGACTTTTTATATTACTGTAGCCAGATCATGTGAATTATTGGGTTGCTATGTGTTACCAGGAAACGAACATGCAGCCTTCCAAGCTATGTGAGTGACTATCTTCCCACCTCCACATGTTCAGTTGATGAAGTATTTGTTGATTTGTTGTTGCCTATTGACATGCCATATTTACATAATATAAATGCGCTTGACATATTGTTAGTACTGATGATTATAGTTAGGGATATTTTTAAAATTCTACACATGGATGCACCATATATTAACCCTTTCTTTTACGGAATGAAATTGCAGCATACCATCTATGTATTTCTCCTTTTCTTTTAGAGGTGTTGTGTTCAAACCTTCTGTCCACCCTGCTCCTTCAGTTATATTTTCCTCTTCAGACGCCAACCAATTATTTTTGGGAGTCCACCGCACCTTTCTTTATTTATTCAACCACTGAAACCATATACCAGTTTTCCCTATCTTATTCCCAAGGCTCTCTAGACAACAAAAAGATGCATGGCTTCTTCTTAACAATACTTGGTTCTTTTACCAACATTAGATGCTAACAGATTGAGTAATACATTTTCCTGTTGCAGTGTACCTACTAGCACAGCTCATGCGCCAATCATTTAGCGTTTCCTAACATAGATACCATTGTTAGGCAGCTGTTATGCTTTACCGCTGAATTATTTGATTATTTCGCTTTCAACAATTGAGTTCTCTATGCAAGGCCCATTTGTCAGATTCTGTACTCCTTTCTAACAAGGTGCAGGTATCTGTCAAGGGCATTGTGTCTCTATAGTCTGCCTTTATGTGATTGATTTGAAAATTATCTGTCAAGGTCACTGTACAGTGCCTGCTTGTTTCAGGATTTCAGCATCATGTTACCTATATGAAACATGGCAATGTCCAGATTCTGGATATATAATGGCTGTACAACGAGCTTATATGCTTTTGTTAAAGGCTTATTTAGGTCACTGACAGTGCGCGGTCATGATTATCACTCTTTCGTGATCTTTTTATTCTCATTTGGGATGAGCCATGTGCATATATTATGATGACTGCTCTGTCTTTTATGATACTTTTTATTGAACTATTTGGCGTACTGAGTGAAATGTACCCTTACATATATATGGTCTTTTTTGGTGTTCTTAGTGAACTGAGGGCAATGGAAAATCTAGCTGACAGTTCTTGCCTTCCATTTTTCACCTTCTAATTGACAGTTCGATGCTCCATCGCGTTGGTGCTTCAATTCAGATATTTTGACATTTCTTTCGTATGAGTCAATTTTCAAGTTGCCTT